AGCAAATTAAAGATTATAACTATTATTCTCTTGCAGAACCAGATGATGGATTTGAAGATTTTTATGCTAAAAAACGAGGTATTTCTTTAATCATCAATTTCAAGAAGGAAAATGAAGTACATGTATTATGATATTTTACCAAATGTGATCAAGGTTATTGACTAGCTGTTGCCTTGTTCAAAGTAAAATTGTATAAAATGTATTAGACATTTATTTTACAAATACAGTATATAAATGAGTAAATTTCATGGAACTGTAATTTGAGAGGCTGGAAGTAACTGTATGTAATATCCAGGTGAAGGAAGGCTGTTTAGAAGAGGTAAAATAATATAGGTATAGATGGCTGAGATTTTGTTTGTCATTTCAGGTAGAAAAACCAATGCTTATGGAGATGAACTGGACTAACAGTTTGATTTTCTTATGGAACAGAGAGTGTGTTATAGTTTTGCAACCAGATTTGTCATCACGTTCATTTCATAAATTGAAATGCATTTCATGATAAAACTGCAGGCCCAGTGTTTTCTACCAGATGAGACAAAATCTATCAGACAGACATGTGACTATAATAACTGTGGAATAGAGAGATATTTTGCAATTTTGTAAGACTTTTAGATATCTGGTTCATAATTTGCATTTCATATGATATCTTTTCCTGTTTATTCCACAAAGTGGCCTATGAGATACAGATTTTCATATTTTAACACACAATAGTTGTATGCTCTTTTTTTGTTAAACCTCCTTATATTGAGCTGAATATTGGTGTGTGGATATTTGAAGATGGGTAGAGGTTTGAGTACTATATGGCCTACTTTATCACAATTAAACATGTAAACATTCTGAAAATTAAATAAAAAAAAATTGTAAATATGCCATTTTCGCTGTTTTTTTTTTGTTTTGTTTTTGTTTTTTTGTTTTTGAATTTGCATGGTGTACATTTGAACTGAATTTTGTTCGGTATGATGAGTTGAAGATTAAATCTGTACATACTTCATCCAGGGATGCTAATTCTCAAATTTGTTTTAATTTGGTTCAAAATGTATCTTTTTTCAAGTGACAATTTTCATCTTATGATTCTAAATATGAATTTTAGATTTTTTTTAACCTTTGAAAGTGAACTGGAAAAATTAAGGCTTAAGTCAGGGGTTCTGGTCTTGATAAGGGTGTATTGATAATACAGTGAAAATGCATTATTTCTTTGAAAATCATCTTCTCTTGTCCAGGGTATTATTTAAACAAACTAAGTGCATGGTTATGAAGCAAGGATGTTTCTTTCAAAATTGTGAAATTCATGGCCCCAGTAAAACATGTAATTATGCAAGATGGTCTACTCAGGAAAATTTCATTCTCATGTATAATTTTATTATCATAGGATATTTACAGCAATAAACAGAATTTGTGAAAATTTGTCAAATACATATCTCACTAAAATAAGGTGTAGTGAAAAATTGATGATCTACAGTACTTCAGTGGATCTTTTACAGTGTTGTATTATATTCAGGTGACCGGTTAGGCCCATGGGCCTCTTATCTGCAAAAAATACTCACTCAGACTTTTTTTTCTATCTACACAGCCAACTTCATCTTCACTAGCCAAGGGTTTTTGGTCCACTCTGCTCCCCTGAAAACCCTTGGCTAGAGTTTATGGGGAGCAGAGTGGACTGAAAACCCTTGGCTAGCGAAGATGAGCCAACCTGTGCTAGAGCATTTGATTTGTTTCATTGAAAATATATATGTTTCTCCTTACCTCATTCCAATATCATATTCATATACTGGTATAATGCTGTGTGAATTGCTTCTCATGAAGCATTGGTTTCAGGAGGAAGATTTAAGATTAGTTAATTAATTAAAGATAAGCTGATATCTATGCATGCATATCTGCATGTCTATGTATTGACTTCCAATTTTCACTTTCAAAAGATTTTTTTTTATCTTTATAAAGCTTACCATTTCCATTTTTTGTAGTAAAAGTGTCTAAAGTCATGTCTTGGTGTTTAATTAAGTCATCAACTTTTTAATAGAGGAAGAAGGAAGCGAGTGGATGGTAAACCTTTAACGTCACTTACGGTACTTTTGAATCTGATGATATACAAGATCTGGGTACAACAATATGAATTTCAACATAAAAATAAACTTTGAACAGTCCAGATAATTCAAAAAAATAAATAAATAAATAAACACAGGACACTAGGATACTTTATAACAATACCATAGTAAAGATAACTGAAAGCATGAAAATTAAGACACATGTGAGAGATTTATTAGATTTTTGGCTGAACTGATCAGAAAATGAGCGCTGAAAGTAAAATCAAAATGATGTTGGTACTGTAATGTTGACATGTGGCGATAGACGAAAGCTAACCAGAAAATGGTGTGATTATAGTGGATTTATTTACTTAAAATTCTACGTGTATGTGAAAAATTCATTTCTTTAATAGGTATCACCAGCTATCTTTGTTAATTTTATGATATTATAAAATTACCCAATTTTCTGACAGCAAATTACATGTATTCTTTCTTATATCGTGTATATATATATATAACAAATTAAATAAGTGCAATATGCTTAATATAACAAACTGAAATTTATAGTTTTCAAAAGTTTCCCAAAATAATAGAATATAATTACACATGTTTTTAATACATAAGTTTAAAGGGTATAAATTTTTTTTAAAAAAAGTGTCGTATAGACTTGCTCAAGTCTGAGTTGGTTTTATTTCATTTATTTTTTAGCTCACCTGAGCTGAAAGCTCAAGTGAGCTTTTCTAATCACCTGTTTTCCATCCGTCCATAAACTTTTCACATTTTCAACTTCTTCTTAAGAACCACTGGGCCAATTTTAACCAAACTTGGTACAAAGTATCCTTGGGTGAAGGGGAGTTTTAATTATTAAAATGAAGGGCCAAGTCCCCTTACAAGGGGATAAAATCAATAAAAGACAAAAATAGGGTGGGGTCAATAAAAAATCTTCTTTTCAAGAACCACTAGGCAAAAAAAGCTGAAACTTACAAGGAAGCATTCTGGGATAGTGTAGATTCTAAATTGTTCAAATCAGGACCCCCAGGGGTAGGGTGGGGCCACAAAAGGGAATCCAAGTTTTACATTGAAATATATGGGAAAAATCTTTAAAAATCTTCTTCTTAAGAACCACTGGGCCAGAAAAGCTGAAACTTGTGTGGAAGCATCCTCGGGTAGTGAAGATTCTAAATTGTTCAAATCATGACCCTCTGGGGAAGAGCAGGGCCACAATAGGGAATCCAAGTTTTACATTGAAATATATAGAAGAAATCTTTAAAAATCTTCTTCTCAAGAACCACTGGGCCAGAAAATCTGAAACTTATGTGAAAGCATCCTCAGATAGTGTAGATTCTAAATTGTTCAAATCATGACCCCGGGGGATAGGGCAGGGCCACAAAGGGAATCCAAGTTTTACATTGAAATACATAAGAAAAATATTTTAAAATCTTCTGGAGAACAACTGGGCCAGAAAAACTGAAACTTATGTGGAAGTATCCTCAGATAGTGTAGATTCTAAATTGTTCAAATCATGACCACGGGGGGTATGGCGAAGCTGAAACTTGTGTGGAAGCATCTTTGGGTTGCTTTGATTCTAAATTGTTCATATCATGACCCTCAGGAGTAGGGCAGGGCCACAATATATAGGGAATCCAAGTTTTACATTGAAATATATAGGAAAAATTTATAAAAATCTTCTCAAGAACCACTGGGCCAGAAAATCTGAAAATTATGTGGAAGCATCCTCGGATAGTGTAGATTCTAAATTGTTAAAATCTGGACCCCCGGGGTAGGATAGGGCCACAATAGGGAATCCAAGTTTTACATTGAATTATATGGGAAAAATCTTTAAAAATCTTCTCAAGAACCACTGGACCAGAAATGCTGAAACTTGTGTGGAAGCATCCTGGGGTAGTGAAGATTCTAAATTGTTCAAATCATGACTCCCAGGGGTAGGGCAGGGCAACAATAGGGAATCCAAGTTTTACATTGAAAAATATAGGAGAAATCTTTAAAAATCTTCTTCTCAAGAACCATTGGGCCAGAAAATCTGAAACTTATGTGGAAGCATCCTCAGATAGTGTAGATTCTAAATTGTTCAAATCATGACCCCGGGGGTAGGGCGGGGCCACAATAGGGAATCCAAGTTTTACATTGAAATATATATGAGAAATCTTTAAAAATCTTCTTCTCAAGAACCACTGGGCCAGGATATCTGAAACTTATGTGGAAGCATCCTCAGATAGTGTAGATTCTAAATTGTTCAAATCATGACCCCGGGGGTAGGGCAGGGCCACAATAGGGAATCCAAGTTTTACTTTGAAATAGGTAAGAAAAATCTTTAAAAATCTTCTTCTCAAAAACCACTTGACCAGAAAAGCTGAAACTTATGTGGAAGCATCCTCAAGTAGAGTAGATTCTAAATTGTTCAAATTATGACCCCCGGGGTAGGGCGGGGCCGCAATAGGTATTACAAGGGGGAAATCATAAAGAACAGCATGGCCAAAGTTACTCAGGTGAGCGATGTGGGCCATGGGCCTCTTGTTTTTCTTCAATTTTTTTAACTGTGAATGTCAGCTCTCTATATAGACTGCTAATCTTCAATGTTATCAAACAGAGAGACTTTATGTTTGGGATTATAAGAATATTTTTTAAAGAGAATTTAAAATAATAGACTCGGGCAAGTCAAGTTGTCATATACCGTATTCCATGGGGCGGGTGTGTCCATACATACTGATAATTTTATTTCCATCAAAGCAACCTCTGAAAAAAATCATAGGTTAAGTTTAGACATGTAAACCATGACTTTGAAATATTTCATCAATATTGTTGTGATTTATGACACATTTAAATTTTTGGGATTTAACTAATTGCTAAAAATATATTTTCAAGTATTCCTAATCTTAGTGGAAAATAAAACGATCGGGCTCAAGATCCAAAAGTTTATTTCATAATAAACATTCGGTGCTCGCAGAGGACACACACAACACAGGCACAGCCACAGGCACAGGGAAGGATCCAGAAACAATTTTAAAAATGGCAGAATCTACACAGAAACGACAACAAGCGTACGCAAAGGTAAATGTCGTTTGCAAAACGGATAAATATGCAAAGTTGTTTGAGCGTCTTACCACTACCAGGTCCGGTACAATCCAGTACATTAAAATACGTAGCTAGAATATTACATACGCAGCTTTAGCTACAGTCAAGGGAAATAAGGCTTCTTGAAGCAGCTTGATTTAGCTATTTTAATGCAAGTTTCACAAGTTTGCTTTTTAAAAAAATAGACAAAAAAATTCAAGTACTTTTTAAACAGTTAAAAACAGTCCAGATTGAGCAAAGATAGTTTTGACACTGTACTCTGTAACAGAAAAGGAGAAAATGTATGGCTGGACTGGGAATCGATCCCAGCACCCCTGCATCACCAGCTCTACTGACTGAGCTTTATATGACCCAGGCTGATATCCACGGCCCAAACCATTGTGTGCTGCGAGGGATGGCTATGAAAAAAAAATATGCTCATTTGAGAAATAAGTAAGGTTTAGTGGCTATATTAAACTTCTTAAAGTAGCTATAAATAGCATTTCCAACAAATGTTTACTGGTCCCTTCTGGTTCTGTGACACTTCAGAATGACAGTGTGCCTCTAGCAACAAGTGATTTTTTATGGTCTTAATTTCAGACCCAGGAGAGCTACTAAAACAGTTGGGAACATTTTGTTGTAGTTATAAAAATGTTAGGGACACAGGGTTGGTAACAGTTTAAGATGGTAGCTTTAAAATATGGAGAAATAATTCTCAACTCATGCAGTTTTTTGTGTGCAATAAATATGTTCTTTTTTGAAAGCAAGGAAATGAATTCAAAGCTCTATGGTAAGTCTAATCAGAGTCCAAAATTGGAGTTATCGGAAGTAAAAAAAACTGAGACTAAAAACAGATTCCTAAATAGGAGTCATATTTTTAGGCACAGTTTGCTAAATGGAGCCAGTACTTCAGACATATACCGGTATATATTAGGCTTTCTCATAAGTTCTTTTATAAATGAGGCCCAATGAGCTACAGATCTGCAGCTACCTCAGTTCAAGCATATCTTTTGATAGCAACAGATAACAATGAGTTTTCAAATTTCTGTCTCTGTAATAGTTTATATGGAGCTTTCTGAAAACTCTGTTTATTTTAGCAGATTTGAAGTCCAGCAGCTGCACAAAATGGCATTTATTTGACACAAGTTTTGTCAGTGTAAAATTCTCAAATTATGTTTTTATGATTTTAATATTTAAAAAGAACTATATCAATTGTTACAGTTCTTGTTTGACAAAGTTAAGAAAGGTGATATCACACCTGAGGAGATGCAGACAATAAGAGATTTCAAAGTAGAGTTTTCTAAAGGCGTTTTCTTCAGAGGTAAGTTGATATGGAAACTATAGGGCTGCGTATTCGCTTGAGTTTTCATATTATGATATATTGCAGTATTTTTAACTTTTGCGATATGTATTGCAATATTTACAACAAAAAATTTAAATTGTATATTCTTATTAACTTCCTTTTACATGTAGAATGTACATATTAACATATGATAAATAACCAGTAAAATAAATCTTTTTGACTGAATTACAGTTATGCAACTAAATACACCCATACAACAACCTTTGTCTTACTGTTTGGCATAGTCGCAAACCTTTCTGACGACTTTTCTTTAAATATTATCATGATTATGGTAGAATTCCTGAGTCCATGCATTTTGCAGGTATATCAGTATTACAAAAACGTAATTGCAATACGATTGTTTTGCCAACATACTACAATATACTAGTAACCTGAATATGGGTATTATTGCCCAGCTTTAATGAATACATATATATTTATTGTCAATTTTTTAACAGTAATAACCATACCAGTGAAATATTGAGTTATATAGAATGTACTTGCATAATGAGCACACAGGCAGACAAAATTTCAAATGCCATATTTAGTTATAAAATTTGTATCCGAACTTGACCTCTATTTACCTGCATATGCAATTTCAACCTTGTACATTCATCCCTACGAAAGTTAGAGAGCAGAAACTAAAATTTCTCATTTTTTCTAAGTTCAAGAGGGATAACTCTGTCAAAAATCATTGGACAATGACCAAGTTCAAACTTGAGCTGTATTTTCTGGTAAAATTCCTGCACGCGCAATTTCAACCGTATAAATATGTACATATATCCCTAAAAAAGTTAGAGAATGTAAACTGAAAATTTCTAGTTCAAGAGGGATAACTCTGTCGAAAATCATCCGACCATGACCAAATTCGAACTTGACCTGTATTTTCTAGTAAAATACCTGCATATGCAATTTCAATGTTATAAAAACGTCCCTATAAAAATTAGAGAGCGGAAACTGAAAAATTCTTATTTTTTCTAAGTTCAAGAGGGATAACTCTGTCAAAAATCCTCGGACCACATATGCTATATGTTTGAACTTTCTTTGATTGTTCTTGATAGGCACATATTAAGTATTAAGGACTGTAATATGTGCAACATATTTTGCAGCTGTACCCAGCTCCTTTGCCATGTATGCAGTTTATCGATATAGTAAGTTGCTTTTCCTTTTTTGTCATTATGATTTTAAGTATTTAAAATATTTACATGCTTGTGTAAAGATAAAAAAATATACATAAAACATGAATTAAATCATATTGTCTGAAATCTAAATTAAATCTAAGTGAATTGTATACTAGACCATAAGAAGCTAGGTATTTTCCATTGTGATACAGTCCCTGAAACGTTCTACTTTCCCACTTGAACGGTGAGCGAACGCTGAACGAACGGTGAACGAACGCTGAACGAACGCAGAGCGAACGGTGAGTGAACGATGTGTGAACGCTGAACGCAACTTGGTGAACGATGTGTGAACGGTGAACGGTGAGCGAACGCAGAACGCGAACGGAGCGCAAACGCGAACGCAAAGTGAACGGTGAACGAACGGTGAACGCAAGATGAACGATATATTCGGAATGCCTCTGATCTTTTCCTTGCATTGAAACTATTTTATTGTATTATAATGTCAGGTGCCAAAAAAAAAAAAAAAATAAATAAGTAAACCAATAAATGAATGAATAAATAAGTAAATAAAATAAATTCTCCAAAATTGTCCTAAGAAAGACGATTCATGCACATTAAGTTTTTAATCACACGATTTTTAACGCATTAAAACATTGCAATTGTTGCCGAACGCTGAAGTATAAAAGATATTTTTTTAGTTGGAAAATAAAAATGTTTATTCTTATTTGATAACAAATCAGAGAAAACTTCTGACTTATAGAATGAATTAAAGCGATTGTAACATCCATTCATATATGTATCTCCGTGTCAAGGCGATTTCATGTAAAGTAATAAAAAAAATTAATTACAAAGGTCAGTGGACGTTTTGCATTTATACGCTCGTATTTTAAATGTTTAATACAATAATATATTATGTGTCATTTCTATTTTTCATGATGATTTATTGAGCCGACTTCTACATGTATCTGTAGATTGCCGTGATTATACTCAGACAAGATAATACAAAGATACATATTCATATTATAATATATTGTTATAAATTCAATTTTCAGAACTTGATATTTAAGTAATATGCTGTTATAATTTTTATCAAACAGACAAATGAGAGAGAGAGAGAGAGAGAGAGAGAGATATTCCGTTTCAGCCCCCCCCCCCTTTCTTTCAGGCTTCACTAAATGTTTGCACCTATATCAAACAATAACTCTGATATTTTTTTCTAAATATATTATACAGTGAAAGTAACTTTTTTCTTTTATCAACAAATCATACCCATCTGTTTGACAGTATTACTCGTTTTTATTTTCCTGCTTCAAGTTCACACGAAGTCCACGTGCTTGTCCTGTCAATCAAAATCATTCGACACTGTGCAGGTGTGAAAGTTTCGTCACATCGAAGACGAAGTGCGAGTATTTCCAACAAGTTATAACATTTATTTTTATCATTTCTAGATTTGATACCAACATTTGAATAATTAGTGAATAAAATATATTGGGCATTAACACTTGAATTTGAAACATACTCTCTGCCAATTTCAAATACCACCGCCGACACGTGTACATTTTGAACTACTATTGTTTTGTGACTTTCTTAGATGCATGTTTGTTTTGAGACTGAAATTTTTGTTCTAAAAAAGACCTTAACTTTTTTTTAACAGGTTAATTAAAATTTTCTGGAAATACAGTACTGACTAAGTAACAGATTTAGGGGAAAAGGGGGGGGGGGGTATTAATTATATCGAATAGCAAACATATAAAGTTACGGTGAAGAAAGATTTTTTCTCTATAACTATAGACTTTACATACATGTATTATAGTAGCGAATATTCTGCAGTGCATTACATTTTAAATAAATATTTCCTTTAAACACACTATCAATTTAATTCGCTCCAAAGATAATAAATTTACAGGATATCCGCAGTACTATGTATAACTCTCAGAACTAGTTCTATCATATTTTCTGTAGTAATTGAATAAAAAAACGCGTTAGAAATAAATATTTTCGTAATTTTGCTGCGTAATTATTTGACTTGGATAATTATATCTCCATTAACGATTTGTCGTCTTTAACAAAACATCAAAATGTTGCAGTGCTTGAAGTATTTGCACATTGGCCTTAGTTAAATTTAATATTTCAGCATCGTTCTACATAGGTACAGGATGTGCTTATAACAACATTTTTTTTCCAGAGTAATTTAATAAATAACCTAATAGCTAAGTTAGAATAATAAAAATATATATCTTAGATTTTTCCCCCATGAAATAATGATTCTTCAAACGCGATATGTTAGTATTAAATTAAAAAATCTGTAACTCCTTACCTACAAAAAGATAAGTCCCTTCACTCGGGAGTTCCGAATGGCAATGACAATTGAACGATAGGTGAACGCTGAACGCAAGGTGAACGCAAAGTGAACGGAACGAAGAGCGAACGCTGAACGCTTTGTGAACGGTGAACGCGAGCGCACGGTGAACGGTGAACGCAAAACTGTGAACGGAGAGCGAACGGTGAACGCACGCTGAACGAACGGTGAACGCACGCTGAACGAACGGTGAACGAACGGTGAGCGAACGGAAAAATGGGAAAGTAGAACGTTTCAGGGACTGTAACTTTTTGGAGTGCATATTATGATGGCTTTAACTGCCAGATTTGATGATCATACCTTACAAATCATTGTCAATAGAATTTCCAGCGCAAGAGACATTTTTCGTTCTTCTGACACAATGAGTAAGCAGTTATATTTTTAGCTCACCAGAACCGAGACTCAAGTGAGCTTATCTGATCAAAGGGTTTCCAGCTTCCATCTGTTGCCTGTAAACTGACTTTTCACATTTTTGAATTCCTTTCAAGAGCCACTGGGCCAATTTCAACCAAATTTGCCACAAAGCATCCTTGGGTGACCCCCTGGGCATAGGATGGGGCCACAATAGTTGATTAATGTTTAAATAGGTATACATGTACATGTATATAGGAAAAAATATTTTAAATTTTTTCTCTAATGATAAGCAAGGCTTTGATAAGGCTTACTGATATATGCAAGCATTCATAAGTAAATAAATGATAATATTGCTGCTTATATTATGCAGATTCTTGCATTAATGAGAGCCTGACAGTTTAGATTCAAGTTTGTTCAGATCAGTGCCCTTGAGAATAGTTTTAGACTACAGTAGGGGATCAGAGTTTTACAAGGGAGTACATAAAAAGAGTTGCAAGATCACACTAAATCTTATTAATACATGTAAGCAAAACATACATGAAATGTGTAGAGAAGATTCTTTTATAAAATTATGAGCCCTGGGGTTAAAGGTAAGTGGAAATGAGAGATTCAAATTTCACATAATGCATGAAAAACAATCTTCAGTCATCTCAATCATTGATATTGAAGCATCCTAATGTTGTGTTGATTTAACTTTGAATAAATTGTAACTCCTTTAAGTCCTAGATTTTGGTCCACAACATGGAGACAAAATATTTATGAAATTTAAGAGGGAATTTAAAAAAAACAAGATGTGTTTGTGAAACACTATGCCCCCGATGGTAACACAATTCTGGAGTGGGACGTAGACTACAGTGCAATAGTTATGGCCAATGTTAAAGTTTTTCAAATGTAGGTCGAAGGTCACAGTTGAGGTCACATGATCAAAAATTTCTGTACCAATGGAAAGGTCTTGTCATAATGAACACTCATGTCAAACATTAAAGCCTTACCCTTGACAGTGCAATAGTTATGGGCTAGGTTAAAGTTGACAACAGACAAACAGACAGACAGGACAAAAACAATATACCCCCTGGATCTTTTGATCTGGGGGCATAAAAATCTGTGGGTCAAAGTGACTCAGGTGAACATTGTTGCCAATGGGCCTCCTGCTTTCTACACAAGCTGACAAAGGAACAAAATAAAAATCAGACAGACAAGAAATAAATGTTAATAACTTCTCTTATTTATTCCTAAAAAAAAGGTACAAATTATATTTGGTTATTCATTGTAAAAAAGAATGTTCACTTTGAAATATTTTGTCAGGATTGTCAGTGTTGAATTTAAGGAAATGTGATTTTTTGGATGATTAGTGTTTTTTTTTTTCAACAACTCAATACTTTGGTATCAATGACAGTAATAGCAAAAGCTTTTTTACTTTGATCTTTAGGGAGTAAAGGAGGAATAGTTGGACTTGGAAAATGTATCTGTAAGTATGATTGTAATTGTTGTTAGTTGTACATGTATGTAGCATTTTGATTTTTGAATATTATTGGATTTTTTTCCAGAGTAGAGAAAAGTGTGTAATTTTCATTGTAGTTTGTGCAGTTGGTGGACTCTTCTTAGGATTTGCTTTCACACCTACCCAAAAACTTTGGTCCCAGCAGTTGGAGAGGCACAACATTACAAGGCAGCATGTACTGGGCAAAATAGACATGATGCAGAAGAAAAACTTGTAAGTAGTTGTATGGCATTGTATGAGTTCAAGTTTAAATAAGAATCATCTTAACACTCAGTATGGCTGCAACCATATGAAATAATCAGGTATGCTTTCATAGACTAAGAATTCTACTGCCAGAAACTGATGACTTTTTAGCTCACCTGAGCTGAAAGCTCAAGTGAGCTTTTCTGATCACCCATTGTCTGTCGTCCGTCCGTCCGTCTGTAAACTTTTCACATTTTCAACTTCTTCTCAAGAACCACTGGGCCAATTTTAAACAAACTTGGTACAAAGCATCCTTGGGTGAAGGGGAATTTAAATTAAAATGAAGGACCAAGTCCCCTTCAAAAGGGAGATAATCAAGAAAAGACAGAAATTGGGTTGGGGTCATTAAAAAATCTTCTTCTCAAGAACCACTGGGCCAGAAAGGCTGAAACTTATGTGGAAGCATCCTGGGATAATGTAGATTTTAAATTTTTCAAATCATGACCCCTGGGGGTAGGTCAGGCCACAAAAGGGAATCCAAGTTTTACATTGAAATATGTAGTAAAAATCTTTAAAATCTTCTTCTCAAGAACCACTGGGCCAGAAAAGCTGAAACTTATGTTGAAGCATCCTGGGGTAATGTAGATTCTAAATTGTTCAAATCATGACCCCCAGGGGTAGGGTGGGGTCACTATAGGGAATCCAAGTTTTACATTGAAATATGTAGTAAAAATCTTTAAAAATTTTCTTCTCCAGAAACACTGGGCCAGAAAAGCTGAAACTAATGTGGAAGCATCCTGGGGTAGTGTAGATTCTAAATTGTTCAAATCATAACCGGGGGAGGGGGGGTGCAATAAGAAATCCAAGTTTTACATTGAAATATGTAGTAAAAATCTTCTTCTCTAGAACCAATGGGCCAGGAAAGCTGAAACTTATGTGGAAACATCCTGGGGTAGTGTAGATTCTACATTATTCAAATCATGACGCCAGGGGGAAGGCGGGGCCACAATAGGGAATCCAAGTTTTACATTGAAATATGCAGAAAAAAAATCTTTAAAAACCTTCTTCTCAAGAACCACTGGGCCAGAAAAGCTGAAACTTATGTGGAAGCATCCTGGGGTAGTGTAGATTCTAAATTGTTCAAATCATGACCCCTAGGGGTAGGGTGGGGCCACAATAAGTACTACAAGGGGGGGGACCAGGTGAAAAACAGCAAGGCCAAAGTTACTCAGCTTTTCTGATCAAAATTTGTCCGTTGTCTGTCGTTGGCGTGTGTAAACTTTTCACATTTTCATCTTCTTCTCCAGAACTACTGGGCCAATTTCAACCAAACTTGGCACAGAGTATCCTTGGGTGAAGGGGATTCAAATTTGTTCAAATGAAGGGCCACGCCTTCTTCCAAGGGGAGATAATTGTGTATTCATGAAAAATTTATGGCATTTTTCAAAAATCTTCTTCTCAAGAACCACTGTGTTAGAAAATATGAAACTTATGTGGAAGCATCCTCAGGCAGTGTAGATTCAAATTTGTTCAAATCATGACCCCCAGGGGTAGGGTGGGGCCACAGTGGGTGATCAAAGTTTTACACAGGAATATATAGGAGAAATCTTAAAAAATCTTCTCAAGAACAGCAAGGCCATGATTGGTCATATTTATTTAGAAGCATCCTCAGATAGTATAGATTTAAGTTTGATCAAATTATGACCCTCAGGGGTAGGTAGGGGCCACAAAGAAAGTTTAAACTTGTAGGAAAAAAGACAGTCAAAAAAATATGTAAGCATCCTTAGTTAGTGTAGATTCAATTTTAATCAAATCATACCCCCTCCCTTTTAGGGGTAAGTCGGGACCACTTATGCATTTAAGCATTACAATGCTAAATTGATTTTTGCTTTTTTCTTAGCCACAGTGCTCAGGTGAGCAATGTGGCCCCTGGGCCTCTTGTTACAATGTTAAATCATGGTTCTTCAAATTTTTCTGGACAATTTTATGAAAATCATGAGTGATGACACAAAATTTATACAATAATTCTATCTACTTATTTTTAATTTCAAAAATGCTATTTCAAGGGTACATGTAACTTAAAAGTATAATCTGTTTAATTTAGTATAAATGTGCAATTTTGGGCAACATTTCGATAAATTTTGATGCACATGAACACTATATAAAAGGATACATACAATGTATATCTGTATCAATTTCATATTTTTCTGTGTTGTCATAGTTATTAAAATTTGAATATTTAATATACTCTTGAATTTTTTTGAATTGGTACTCCTCCTACAGTTTTGATATGATTTCGTGAAAACTTGATACGCTTGTAGACTACATCGACATAAATCTAGACAACTGGATTAGTAGGGATGTAATAATACATTCATGTAATGCAGAGGGTAAGATACATGTATAATACAGCAGTACAGAAAATGAAGTATTGATACTTTTTGGAAGTAAATAATGTGCACATTTTAGTTTTAAAATTGGAGTTTTTGTGTAAACATCTGATGGTACTTGTTAATTATCCCATGGAATATGAATTATAGTTTAGTTTAGAAAAGGTTTTATCTTTATTTTATTTTAATTTTGTTCTTAGCTTCAATGTATCGGTATTTGAGAGACTATTAGAGTCAGTTTGTTGAAAAAAAAGAGCTGAAATCTACATTTTCCTCTCTAAAAAATCAAAAAAATAGTTGTAACACTTGATATATCACGATTTCTGAAATTTTGTGATGCATCGTGATATTCTTTTTCCTAACGATACACAGCCGTAATTTTTAGTACATCTGTGACACTCAGGTGACCCATTCTTTTTGGCTCCCATTCATTGATTTGTGTGTCATTCATAAACTTTAATTAGAACATTTTCATCCTTTTCTCTGAAATAACTCTGAAATACAAGATATAAATGCTCATATCTATATCTATGCGTATCAGCTCATTTCTAGTAACAACTGAATTCATAAATTTTAATTAGAACACTTTCCTCTTCTCTGAAATAGCTCTGAAATAGGAGATATAAATGCTCATATCTATATCTATGCGTATCAGCTCATTTCTAGTAATAACTGAATTCATAAATTTTAATTAGAACATTTTCCTCTTCTCTGAAATAGCTCTGAAATAGGAGATATAAATGCTCATATCTATATCTATGCGTATCAGCTCATTTCTAGTAATAACTGAATTCATAAATTTTAATTAGAACATTTTCCTCTTCTCTGAAATAGCTCTGAAATAGGAGATATAAATGCTCAAATTTATGCATACCAGATCATTTCCAGTAACAACTGAATGAAAATTTTCATTAAATAGGTCAGAATTCAATGAAATGATGGAGCAGGATTGGGAGCATATTCCAGCAGATAAAATAGAGACTCCGAAAATACCCAAATTTGTAGAAAGGATGGAAACAAAGACAGATGTTGAGAATGACACTCAGACAAACCAAGGTTCAACATTTTTATTTGGGGCTTCAAATCAAGGTATATAAAATATTTTTTAAGTATATTTTGAGTTGGGACCCTTGAAAGTTAAAGCTATTTTGATATACATTTCGTTGAAGATTTGAAAAATTATTTTTTTATTATAAGATTGGGAGTACTTTCCTGTAATGTACCATTCTGTAAATTACCGGTAGTGGTACTTTGAAGAATTTTTTTTTCTTCATTTTTTTAGAAACTGATCAATTGGCCAATGAAGAGGAAGGATTAATGGAAAAAAGAATGAAAAGAAACAGAAGGAAAATGAAAGAAGGTTTGTTCATCAAATTAATAGTTAGGTTAAAGGGCTTCAAAATGCAGTATTGATTGACACCAGTTTGATTTTAAATTGGAAAAAAAAACATGGAACATATCTTGCACCTTAGAGTTTAAAAGCTTACATTTAAATTTCCTGATGATTTAACAGAGAGTTTTTTGGAGAGGGTCCATTCCCCAGTTATTATAAGCCTTATCTGGACCAAGCTTGCATGGATGATGTATTTAAGGATGCATACTACCAGACATGCTTCAGATGCTTGGTATGACTTATATTTTCCAGTTGAGTAAATAGGCTTAAGTTTTTGGAGCAGGTCCCAAAGTTGCAATGATGAGGCGTATAGGGATGCTTAATACCAGAACTTGCTTTAGATGGTCAATTTGATCCACATTTTCCAGATGACTGAACAGGTTAGTTTGTGGGGGGAAAAATAGGAAAAAATATAATTATAAAAATACAAGGATTTATTCAAGGAGACTGTACATTTATTAAACATAGTGACTAAGATAATAATATCAAGTGGGTAAAAAGTCTGTTATCAAAGAAACATTTTTAAATTTTAAAATTACAGTAATTGTTCACATTAATTTTTTTCATACCCCACTCAACAAGCTGTGGAGGGTACAATGTTTTTGACCTGTCCATCAGTCTGTCAGTCATGTTCTTGTCAATGCAACTCCTCTGAAATCGCTGAACAGAATTTCTTGAAACTTTGTTGTTAATAGGACATAATGTGTAGATGTGCATGTTAACAGGAAATTCTTATTTGATTTCTCTCACAAATGTCGATAAAAAGAAAGGGGTAATCTCATTCTTTCAACCCCACCCTTAAATACTTTAAACTGGAAATTTGCTGACTGGGTCATATCTAATTTTTAGGGTAAATATGATAGCATACTGCAGCATTGTTTATTCTCAAAGAAGTAGGTATGGTGAGCATTGAATTTTGCCCCAAAATTTTAAGATAATTTCAGGAGTTTATGATTTATCCTAAAAAAAATATAAAATATGAAGACTACAAAATAGAGCTGTTTAACTAATCATTGCTACAATTTTTACTATGATGTCACAAACAAAACAGTTTTTCCTAGTTTTAGACTCAAAAAGGATTCCCTATTGTACCTTGTACTTTCAAATTGATAATTTTTCAAAACATTATATAAGCCAGGTGAGCATTGTGGCCATCAAGTCTCTTACATGTTTTATTTCTTTTTCCACAGAGTCAAATACATCAGAAGGAATATCAAATTCAGGTAAAAGCTTTGAATGATTCATCATTTAATACATGTAATGATAAACTTTACACATTCATCAAAAAGATGTATGTCTTTACTATTTCACTGAACAGAATGTATAAAAAGTATGTGATTTATTATTCTATAACAAACATTACAATCAATATACATTTTTGAATTTCTTTTTTTTCTGCTGCAGGAAAAAGAGTCAACAAATATGGAGATGTTATTGAATAATATTTTGTGCTTTTGAAATAAACTTATGTCTTACAATACATAGTTATCAAAATGATAAAATGATCGCTGATACCCTCTATTATCATTTAGTCCTAATGACTGAGCACATTTCATCCTTGACAAAAGTATACAGGAGTTCATTGAAGATTTGAGTGCATAGTGTTTTATAAGACATAAAAAAATGTATGATAACTATGGTATTTCTCTATTGTAATAGTTCTTTTATGTATGTTTAAAAGCTTGTTCAAAAGTCAACTAAATAGATAATAATTCATAAATAAAAATACTGTTAAGTAAGAAAATGTTGCATATGTAAATCAATTATGCAAACTTTGCATTAATATAAAACAATTTTGACTTGTTTTAAAGCCGTTTTAGTACAGTTTTTCATTGTACCCATTGATGGGGCAAAAGGGCAAACATAAAGATGGGAGCTAAATGAACATTTGTTTTGTTTTGTTTTTTGTTTTGGTTTTTTGTTTGTTTTTTTTAATGCAGATAAGAGTACTTTGCATTTATTTTAAAGGAAGGGGGGGGGGGCACTTTTCATGAGCAAGCAATTAGAATTTAATTTCACTGGTTCATGCAGATTAATTTTGTGAGTGACTTGAATATACAGAGGATTCAACAAAAGGATATTTGACAAGGTAATTGTTAGTTGGGATGTAAATTTGTGGGTATAAGGGTGTATGACTCACAAAACCCGTGGACATTAACACCCAACACCCCCCACCCCCCACCCCAAAAAAAATTCCACAGTAGCTTGTTATTTTTCTGCTATGTCGATTATGAGAAATTACATGAATTGTAAAAACTATATGGAAATATTTAAAATACTTTTATCATTTTTATACCCCACGCAACAAGTTGCGTCAAACTTTGCAGATATTTAGGACACAATGTGTAGATGTGCATATTACCAGGAAATTCCGATTCCATTATTTTTCTAGGAATTTAGGCACTTTTCAACTTAGATTTTTGCCCATATCTTGAATATAGAGATGAACAGATTGTCAGCGCAACTCCTCTTAAACCGCTGCACAGAATATATGGTCAAACTTTTCAGATATTTAGTACACAGTATGTACGTGTGCATATTACCAGGAAATTCCGATTCCATTATTTTTGCCCAAAGAGTTTTGCCTATTATTGAAGAAACTTTCCAGCTAGGTAATAAGGAAATCTATTGGAATCAGCTTTTGTAATGAAATTTTATGTGAAATATTTTATGACCTCAAAAAACCCCTATTGATTTTGAGATCAAAATATTAATAATTTAACACACATACACACACGCAAAATCTTGGATAGTTCTTACCCCCACCCCCACCCCCCTCAAATTGGTGCTTTGCCTTAAATAATTTCGTAAGTACAGTATGTAAACAAATTCATATGACTACATCATAATTTTGTTTCCATCAATTATTTAAATGTGTAAATTGTCATGTGCTGGGCATGGACTTGCACTCGTTAACAAATCGAAATCACTGAGGAATTTAAATAACAATTTGTCAGCATAACTCCTGCACTGAATTTTCTAAAACTTTGTAGGTATTTCAGACATAATGTATAGATTTGTATATTACCAAGAAATTTTAATTCCATTATTCATCTAGAAACTTAAGCCCAATTAAATTTGTAACGTACAAAGATTTGAATGTCCTTGTATGCACGAAGTTTTGATGTGATGATTCTTTGCAAGTAATGCCCCTTTCTGAATTATATTGTGTATTTAAAATGCACTGTGCCATTCATTACGTGTTGCATTGTCGAGTTTTGGGGGAGCGTGGGGTATATGAGCTTGCTCACTTTTTCTTTCATTCAAACAGATACATATAAACATTTTTGGGGGGAGGGGGTTGTCATTGGCAGCCACACTTTGTGATAGCTGCAGAACTGTAGTGTTATGATTTATATTTTAGACTTTGACCATAACGCCACAGATCCCGTAATGCAAATATGGTGCAATTTGCGGCGCAAAATTTTCTGCGCACGGTTGGCGAGAATTTCTCCACTTTCCAGCATTGGTCAATCAACTACCTACCTTTCACTCCTTAATTCCAGACATATTCTCTAACCAAATGTATATTTTATCTACCTCCTAACCCTTTATAGTCATAAATACAGACCAATACACTCGTTTGTTTTAAACTTTCTGCCATCCGACAAAAAAATCAAAACAAGCGAGTTTATTGGTCTGTAGAGACGACTATAAAGGGTTAGGAGGTAGATAAAGTTATCGAATGTGTCTAGAATTAGGGAGTAAAAGATAGTTGATAGACCAACGCTGGAAATTTAAAGTGGAGAAATTCTCCCTAACCGTGCACAGAAAATCTTTTGCCGTAAATTGCACAATACTTGCATTACGGGGCCTATAGCGTTATGGTCAAAATCTAAAATATAAATCATAACGCCACAGTTCTGCAGCTAATTTTTTTGCTGATATTGAATTTTCCATTTGCATATCACTTCAGGGCTAGTTGCACCTGCTAACAAAGTATATAACGTTTATGTTAAACAACACATGTTCAAAGTGAAATTCTCTTTCTCTTTTAATGATAACACTGATTTTGGTTTGAAATGTTTTTGACACTCACTCACTCTGACTTTTACATAAGAGAGAACCAAAACTTCTTAATTTTTTATTAGAAAATCAAATAGTCCTACAAGTTTAGTTCACCTGAGCCAAGGGTTCGATTGAGATTTGATCAAAATTTTGTCCATTATCGCCATTGTTATCGATATAAACTTTTCACATTTCGTCTGCATAACTATATATTTGAACCAATTTCAACTATACTTGGCACAGAGTATCCTTGGATTAAGGGGATTCAGATTTAAATTGTTGAATGAAAAACAATGTAAACTAATACACTAATAGTGGCCCAGATCCTTCAGATATTAGGATTCTAAAAGAGCCTTGAAGGTAAAATAGAACAAGGTAATAAAATATTTGAATGGATTTGGATATTTCTGGAAGATACAGGGGGAAATAGTTGACAAACTTGTGTTTTTTTTAATTTACTATGACCTTATACCACAAATGACATGAATAACAATGGAAGAATGCATTTAATGATTTGGATCATTGGCCGAGCTTTTTTCCCTCAAGTCTAAAGGCTTTTAATTTTACCTTCCAGCTGTTACGTACTAGCTAGCTACTTGTACACATTTATGAATATTGGTTATATTTATTTTCTGTTAATAAATTAATGCTACAGTAAAACACAGATCTGCTTTTTGCCTTATAATCTCACATAAGTTGGGGGATGTTTGAGACTCCCACAAGAGTATGCAATGGTTTGGGCCATGGACATCGGACTGGGTAACAGTTGGTATCTAGAGCACTTGATTTGTGATGCAAGGATCCCGGATTCAATTCCCAGCTCAGGCATACATCTTCTCCTTTTCTGTTACATACTTTAATTGATATGAAAATTATTAATTTGTTATAACTTATATACAAAGTAGTAATTTTAAAATAAAATTATTAATTTGTTAAAACAAATTGCTAATTTGTTAAAACAAATTATTAAAAGATACTGCATTTGTTATAACAAATTATCAACTTGTTTTAAGAATTATTAATTTGTTATAGCTAATTGATAATTTGTTAAAAGATACTGATGTGGCCCTAACACCCTTCCGTAGTTTTTTGTATGAGATTTATAATTAAACTTTCTTTCGAACGTTGGAGCTATATTATATGGCGTTTCTGAGCTAAAAAATAATAATACGAGATTGAATGTAGATGAACAAATACATGATATTTGTTATTTACGTTCAAATTAACATTTTCCCCGATTTTGAACTTGAATATCCCCACGTTTCTATCATATTAAATTGACTTTAAATTTAACTGTGTCTGATATTTATTTAAATGCGGAGTCGGTAAATACATCGGTTATTAGTTCCCTACCGGTGAAACCGGAGGGGACTATAGGTTTCCTCTGAGTCCGTCCGTCCGTCTGTCCAGCTGTCTGTCCGTCCGTCTGTCCCTCTTTCTGTCTGACAGTTTGTCCCACTTGGTTTTCCGCACTTTTTCCTAAACGCTTGCAGATATTGAGCTGAGTTACAGATTAAGTTTGCTTTTCGTTCCGTTTCATTGATTTTTGACGAAATTACGACCTCTTCAATTTTTAAGGGTTTTCCGCAATTTTTTTCTAAACGCTTGCAGATATTGAGCTGATTTTTGGTATGTGACTTTACCTTGATTACTTATAGATCAAGTTTGCATTTCATTCCGCTTCAATGATTTTTGACGGAATTATGGCATTTTCAATTTTTAACGGGAACCAGATTACACTTGCCGGTAGGGGACTAGTAATGCAATACTCTCAGAATGCTTGTTGATTTAAATTTCTAATATCTATGAAACGCGATTGATTTAAATTGTGTAACTTACAGGAAAGTCCTATTTTTATATAAAGTAATAAAACAAATAGAAAGATCTTTTAAATTTTAGATAGTCTGAACTTATCAAAAATACGCCAAATATGACTTTAACTTAAAGGTTTATAGGTCATGAGGTTACTTTCCAGAACTGTCAAGTAGTTTGCAAAAAACAAAAACAAACAAACAAACAAAACAAAAAACATATGGTTGGTAAAAATTTCCAGTCGGGTTCGGTATTCTCCAGCTCAACTTTCAATGTCAAAATGGCTCCCAACTTTCCTAAGTTGGAATGGGGCTACGATTTTGCAGATTCTATTCGGGTTATCTGCGGTTTAGTACCAAAAAAGACACCGAATGTTCCTAAATTTGATCCATGGGATGTTAAAACATATAAAGTTGAAGATTGCATTCAGGAACTACAAGATTATCAAAAGAAACTAGCAGAAAAGGGACTAAAGGATCATTGGATTAGGTAATATTTAATTTAAGGACATACGCAACGTACCTTACCTGCCGATAATTTTTCAAGATATTCTCAATTTAAGATAATAGTGCCATCAGATGTTCGTAGACAAAAAATCAGCATGCATTACCAGGGGTTTTGAAAAGACATCAATTGATGAAAATTCTTGTATAATTCAAAGAAAAATATACAAAAATTACTAAAACATATATTCTAGATGTTTTGTTTATCCAAACTTGTTTT